TAAAAGTTAACCCTAATTTTTGTTGGATTTGTTAGTACTTTAGTGAATTTTTATTTATTTAAAATATTAAACTTAGAACTCAAAATAATAACACACAAAAAACATACAATGTCCTATAATGATTATAATTTAACTGGTTTTCTTATTAAACTATGAGTGTACTAAACAATTCCCTTAGTCGGTCGAGCTGAACTTGGCAAACATGTATAACTTCATGTATTTTCATGTATAACTTCATGAAAATCAGCAAATTAATATTTTCTTTTTCTATTGGTTTTAAATGATGTAATCGCAAGTGTTGGAGGGAAGTATTGAAAATTTTTTGAAATACAGGGATGCGATAGGAGGACGTGTTACGTTGGTTTGATTTTCTGGTTTATATTTCTGTAAATCGAGATGATTGAAGGGTATGAAATTAGATTGTCTTCTCAGCATCATCTATACTATAACATTATAATCTATATACTACTAAAACTCTGAGATTGTTTGTGTGTATGCTTGTCTTTAATTAAATACAGCAAAAACGGTGCACAATACTGCCATACTAGTAATGAAATGAGAATAGAAACAGAATAAAACAAGTTTCGATAAAATCGGGCCACGGGTTATCGAGTTAGCCACGTTTTTCAGGTCACTTTTATGAAACTTTTTAGATGAATTTATGTACACTAGATGGCGCCACATATCGGTTTATCTATCTGTTTTCCACCTGATGAATCACTTTAAAAGATCTTCTATACAACAATATATGCACAACAGAAATTAAATGATGAGATGAAAATGTGTTATAACGGCACGTAGAAAAACTACAACAATAAAATGGACCTACAATATTATTGACTATTTGCAAATAGTAACTATGGAGATGGGATAATAAAATAAAAATCAATTGGAGAACAACAACAAAATTTTATAAACGAAAACCTCTCGCTGAGCATTGGCCATTATATTATTTCCCTGTCAATGTTCCCATTTTTATTAAAAGGCATAAGATGACAAAAACAAGATCTTGAAGAATCTATCTATATACCACTAAAACTCTGAGATTGTTTGTTTGCTTATTTTCTCAGTCAAAAAATAACCTCTGAATAGTGATTGACCCAACTGGTCACGGTGGTCTAGTTTTTATTAAAACCCAGAAATTGAAGTAGGGATGGAAGAAGTGTTAAAGTGGGCTATTCAGAGCAATCAAATGTCAAGTGGTATGTAGAAGTAAAGATTGAGAATTAATTTAAATATTTTATTTTGAAATTAAAAAATTAAAACTTACATAATATTAAAATTTCATTTGTTAACTACATTTTGATTCAAAGTTTATTGATATACTCTAATAATAAATTAGTTTAACGTTTGAGCGTAACTCTCTAAAAAGGTCGTGACATGCATACTTTTACCTAACCATGTCCAGAGGATTAAAGATATTTAAGATTGAAAATCTTTTTCATATAATTTTTTTGCTTCTCCACAAATGAATAAGAAGTACAAGTGGCATATAGGCCTTGTAACACAGAAAAATAGCCTAAATGATGTAATGTCATAATGGATATACCCTACCATTTAGTAGGGTGTATCGTAAGTCATTTATCAGCAGTAAACAAAACTTTTAATGTTTATGTGTATAGAAGGTTGGGAGAAACTAGAGTCATAGTAGCTATGTAGAGTCAATCAGTTGCATTAATGTACTTCTGTTAATGAGTAGGCAAGGTTGTTATTAAGAATGTGAATTGATCAAAGAAACGGAGAAGCATGAAACATATTCTCGAGACTAAATGATCCATTATATATAGCATCTTACTTAACACTTGTTATTAAATTTTATAAATCTCATAGTTTTAAATTTCAGAAATAAATACAAAACAGGTCTTTTGGCATAAATTTCTTGATCACTAAGTGCTCTTTACAGGACTCTAGTGGTACAAATTTGAATACAAAACAGGTCTTTTGACATAAATTTCTTGATCAATAAGTGCTCTTTAGCCAGCATTTATATTAAGTGGACTCTAGTGGTACAAGTTGGAATATAAAACAGGTCTTTTGGCATAAATTTCTTGATCACTAAATGCTCTTTAGCCAGGATTTATATTAAGTGGACTCTAGTGGTACAAGTTTGAATACAAAACAGGTCTTTTGGCATAAATTTCTTGATCACTAAGTGCTCTTTAGCCAACATTTATATTAAGTGGACTCTAGTGGTACAAGTTTGAATACAAAACAGGTCTTTTGACATAAATTTCATGATCACTAAGTGCTCTTTAGCCAGCATTTATATTAAGTGGACTCTAGTGGTACAAGTTTGAATACAAAACAGGTCTTTTGGCATAAATTTCTTGATCACTAAGTGCTCTTTAGCCAGCATTTATATTAAGTGGACTCTAGTGGTACAAGTATGAATACAAAACAGGTCTTTTGGCATAAATTTATTGATCACTAAGTGCTCTTTAGCCAGCATTTATATTAAGTGGACTCTAGTGGTACAAGTTTGAATACAAAACAGGTCTTTTGGCATAAATTTATTGATCACTAAGTGCTCTTTAGCCAGCATTTATATTAACTGGACTCTAGGGGTACAAGTTTCAAAAACTTGAGTATAAGTGCCTAGGCTGGAAAGTCAGTTTTGTGCACCAAAAGTTTAGAGAAGAGTCCTGTAACAGTAACCTACTTATCAACAACTCTGATGTGGTCTGTAGTCAGAAGAATATTCTAAATGTATCAAAAACCAAACACAGAATGTATGAAAGCATTGTATAGTTTTTTATGTTTAATTTTTCATTATTTGAATAGGTAGTTTGTAACTTGGTTAGAAATTATTTAGTGACGTGTTTGTAACTTGGTTAGTTAACATCAAGCGAGTATCATCTAGATTCAGTCAAGACCTTGCCTGTTTTTGGAATCTGTTATATGCATAATTATAATTTAGTCAAGTAAAAACAAAGGAATTCAAAGTAATGAATCAAAATAATTGGGTACAACTTGTAACAGCTAGGTAACTTGAAAGCTTATAATAAAGAAATTAAGTGCTTTTGTTTTTCTGAGCGAAAAAACCTAGCACGTAAAAAAAAAAATGCATTCTTGTTTTTCTCTTTAGAGAAAAAAAGTATAAGCAATAAAGTGGCAGAATTAGATATAGAAATTCAAAATGTTTTTGTCTTTTTTTTCTAGTGAATGGGGCATTTGTTTTTTTTCCCCCTTTTTATCTTTAGTGCATTTTTCATATAAAGTAGGCTCGGCATGGCCAGGTGGTTTCAGTGCTCGACTCGCAATCTGCAGGTCATAGGGATCGAATCCCCATCCCACCAAACATGCTCACCCTTCCAGCCGTGGGGACATTATTATGTGACAGTCAATCCCACTATTCATTGGTAAAAGAGTAGCCCAAGAGTTGGCGGTGGGTGGTGATGACTAGCTGCCTTCCCTCTAGTCTTACACTGCCAAATTAGGGATGGCTAGCACAGATAGCCCTCGTGTAGCTTTGCGCGACATTCAAAAACAAACAAACATATAAAGTATTCGATAAATTACTATTAATCATATCTTACATAATTGATTTTTGTTCTTTTTCAAATTACAAAATCAAAGTAAAGCTTGAAATTAGGATTTTTTCCACATTTTATTCATATTATCCGTACAACAGAAATTTCACTGAAAAGTTCACCAATTACAACTAGATTTTTAGGAGAAGAAATAAAATTTTGGGGACCATTTTTACCATTAAAATGCATTGGCTGAGAACACGGAATATATCGAGTCTGCTACGCAGCAGAAGTTGTGATTTGGTTCCCGTGAAAGTCAACCTTAAATGGATAAATTTCTAAATGTAAACTGTTATTATCAAAATTGGCAGATTTTTTTTTTGACAAAATTATTCTTGTACACAGAAACTTATGAGGTTAATCATTCCATTAGAGTTGAGAAAAACTGAATTTCAATATTTCACTAAGATGGAAGTTTGACAGCTTGAAACTCGTTTAAATTCTGAGTCCAGGAGATCATGGAATTCCCACTAATTACTTCCGATGTCCCTGAAGGTTTCTGGTGGAGCAAGGATGTATACCTCCACTTTGTGAGCTGTTGACTGTCATGGATGCCAAGATTGTTCAAGTGGCTCTGAATGGATTGGAAAATATTCTCAGACTCGGGGAGCAAGATGCTAAGAATCACAGTGGAGTTAACCCTTATGCAGTCATGATTGAAGAGTGTTATGGTATGTTGAGAAACTATCCTGTAAGTAGGGC